TTGATGATGTTGATGATGGTGGTTTCATATTACATCAAATAGGAGCTTCGGAAGGTAATTTCCCCCCAATATGTTGTGTTAAATCAACGCTGTTCTGGTAAGGTGACGTGTGAAGTCCCACCTTTATTTCGCAGGCAATAAATTTTTGCTGTTGGTATATTTTCCAGACCTGATTGTCTTTTTTATACAGAGCGCCGGGTCCTTGTTGGGGTTAACGTCTTAAAAATGTGGGGACTCTCTGAAATGATTGGAGTGGACAGATGAACTTCATTGAGCGGGCGTAACGTGTTCCGGATTGTGCACTACGGCTTGTATGTTGGCTATGATGACACCTATTTCTAATGGGAATCTTCAGGCCACTTCCCTTTATCCTGTCCTTGAACACGTGAGCCAGCGTCGGCCTCAGTATGAAGTCTATTGCAACACCGTCGATTCATCTATATACTGAACCAGCTAGAATAAGCTATCTGATTATTTCATTCGGAATCGGTTCCTGAATGTTACAACTGATCATGTGAGCCTCAGTTTAACAGTGAATCAATACTCGACGTATTTTGTTTTGTTACTAGAAACACCTTGCTTTTCGGCGTATTCAGTGTGGTCCAGCCTTTCAAGCATTAATCGTTTTTCAGTGATCCTTGTTCGTAGGCTTTGTTGGGTTACAAAACCAAGCTCATTCGTTTGCATCATCTCCTTACATTTTTCGTTTTCATTGCCTCTACCAGCCAAAAACCCTCCCGGTCGAAGTAGAACCCAATTACGACAATGCCACTGACCGTGCTGAAGTTTTGGATCGTTTTGTACGTTCACTAGACGTCGCAGAAACCCGCAACCCGAATTTCAACCTTCGATTGCGATTTCGGGACAAAAAGATGCTTCAAGAACTAGGTTTGGACGATGGTGAATCGCTGGAATTTGATTTAGATATCTACAAGGCCGAGGATCAAGATATACCGGATTTGATACACAATCTGGTAGGTTCTTGCCGTTTCAATGCTCCTGTGGTGGTTGATTTGCGGTGTCCGAACATTACGTGATCAAGTACTGTTCAATTAGGCAGAACTGTTGCCCATTTATTTCATTTCTGTTCCAAAAGCTAATGCCATGCACGCTGCACGACTTGAACTGGTGGGTTTGAGTGTACATTATTCGCCATCAAATGTTTTCGGGTCACTCCACCATTAGTATGCGCCCGGAGTTGGTCGGTATGTCTTTACAGGGTGGGAAATGGCTTCTTGAAATCTTATCGAGTCAGACGACATACATGGTCATTTGATGATCTTGGTTGACCATAGAACGTGAGATCAACACAGTTTACTGTCCTGCCGATTTACTGTTCTTTTCAATGTTGGATCATGTCGGTGCAGGACATTAGGTCACTACTGTGTCCACCTGTGTCAATCCTGAAAGTTTTGATACCTAATCCGACACTTACGCGAAAAACTGCAAGTAGTCTGATAGTGTCAGGTGAAAGACGTGCAAAATTAATCTAACGTGGGATCCATCTATGCGATGTGCTGACGTAAACCTTCCTCTCATATTGTTATGACACAGCGGCAACAAACCATACCATGATTAGTTTAAGCGCACATTGACCTGACTTGCAACGATTGCTTGAGGTTGCAGTTAAAAAGTTCACACTGGCACAGTGAGGTGTAAGTAAATCTTCTGTAAGGGGACATGGAATATACGTAATCGTAAATCGGTTGAAGTCTTTTCAAATAAAGCCACCATGCGAATACAGGTAGTCGAGCAACCTCTGTGCATTTTTAGTCACTGTTGCAGATGTTACACCCAGCAAATCTTTTATTATATTTCAGTATTATGCATACAGCTAAACGGATCGTGTGCTCGGGATGGCTCATTGATTGAGGCCCGAACTTACTGACTGGATGGTCCATGGTTCGAACCCAACCTCTGCATCTCGACTACTGTCTAGGCTAAGGCATGGTGGCAGTATCTCAGCCCTCGCGTTTCCTTCTAGCGGCATGGCAGCTAAGCACCGAAAGAATGTTATAGTTGAACGGTTATACAGGCAATAAATTGTTGCTGTTGGTATATTTTCCAGACCTGATTGTCTTTTTTATACAGAGCGCCGGGTCCTTGTTGGGGTTAACGTCTTAAAAATGTGGGGACTCTCTGAAATGATTGGAGTGGACAGATGAACTTCATTGAGCGGGCGTAACGTGTTCCGGATTGTGCACTACGGCTTGTATGTTGGCTATGATGACACCTATTTCTAATGGGAATCTTCAGGCCACTTCCCTTTATCCTGTCCTTGAACACGTGAGCCAGCGTCGGCCTCAGTATGAAGTCTATTGCAACACCGTCGATTCATCTATATACTGAACCAGCTAGAATAAGCTATCTGATTATTTCATTCGGAATCGGTTCCTGAATGTTACAACTGATCATGTGAGCCTCAGTTTAACAGTGAATCAATACTCGACGTATTTTGTTTTGTTACTAGAAACACCTTGCTTTTCGGCGTATTCAGTGTGGTCCAGCCTTTCAAGCATTAATCGTTTTTCAGTGATCCTTGTTCGTAGGCTTTGTTGGGTTACAAAACCAAGCTCATTCGTTTGCATCATCTCCTTACATTTTTCGTTTTCATTGCCTCTACCAGCCAAAAACCCTCCCGGTCGAAGTAGAACCCAATTACGACAATGCCACTGACCGTGCTGAAGTTTTGGATCGTTTTGTACGTTCACTAGACGTCGCAGAAACCCGCAACCCGAATTTCAACCTTCGATTGCGATTTCGGGACAAAAAGATGCTTCAAGAACTAGGTTTGGACGATGGTGAATCGCTGGAATTTGATTTAGATATCTACAAGGCCGAGGATCAAGATATACCGGATTTGATACACAATCTGGTAGGTTCTTGCCGTTTCAATGCTCCTGTGGTGGTTGATTTGCGGTGTCCGAACATTACGTGATCAAGTACTGTTCAATTAGGCAGAACTGTTGCCCATTTATTTCATTTCTGTTCCAAAAGCTAATGCCATGCACGCTGCACGACTTGAACTGGTGGGTTTGAGTGTACATTATTCGCCATCAAATGTTTTCGGGTCACTCCACCATTAGTATGCGCCCGGAGTTGGTCGGTATGTCTTTACAGGGTGGGAAATGGCTTCTTGAAATCTTATCGAGTCAGACGACATACATGGTCATTTGATGATCTTGGTTGACCATAGAACGTGAGATCAACACAGTTTACTGTCCTGCCGATTTACTGTTCTTTTCAATGTTGGATCATGTCGGTGCAGGACATTAGGTCACTACTGTGTCCACCTGTGTCAATCCTGAAAGTTTTGATACCTAATCCGACACTTACGCGAAAAACTGCAAGTAGTCTGATAGTGTCAGGTGAAAGACGTGCAAAATTAATCTAACGTGGGATCCATCTATGCGATGTGCTGACGTAAACCTTCCTCTCATATTGTTATGACACAGCGGCAACAAACCATACCATGATTAGTTTAAGCGCACATTGACCTGACTTGCAACGATTGCTTGAGGTTGCAGTTCAAAAGTTCACACTGGCACAGTGAGGTGTAAGTAAATCTTCGGTAAGGGGACATGGAATATACGTAATCGTAAATCGGTTGAAGTCTTTTCAAATAAAGCCACCATGCGAATACAGGTAGTCGAGCAACCTCTGTGCATTTTTAGTCACTGTTGCAGATGTTACACCCAGCAAATCTTTTATTATATTTCAGTATTATGCATACAGCTAAACGGATCGTGTGCTCGGGATGGCTCATTGATTGAGGCCCGAACTTACTGACTGGATGGTCCATGGTTCGAACCCAACCTCTGCATCTCGACTACTGTCTAGGCTAAGGCATGGTGGCAGTATCTCAGCCCTCGCGTTTCCTTCTAGCGGCATGGCAGCTAAGCACCGAAAGAATGTTATAGTTGAACGGTTATAATATTAATCAGATCTTACTGTCAAATCTGTGAACAATATCCGTTCCTCACAGGTCAGTTTTCAAACACCCACACAGTGTGACTGTTTATATCTCCTTGTTTGCGTGAACACATTCTAAGTTAGCCACGTCAGCCATTTAAGCAAAGTAAACTTCCCGCAATAGTTGACCTGCGGTTCAAGCAGATACTTGATTGTTTATGCTGTGTGTTTATCTAAAAGCTGTTACCACCCCCACAGCAGCCATTGATGGGGCTGGTAAAAAACAAGTGAGTGGGCGCTGTGGAAGGTGTTCGAACCGCGGATATGACAGCCATTTAGTCCGTTCATTGAGACCAGAGGGGTATTACTGTAACCGAAAATTTAGGGACAATTTTTGCACTAAGTTTGACTATTTTTTAGATAGGGGGCACTATACTGCGTTATTGTTGAGCTCGCCTCGCTCGTAGCATACAAATGACATTGAAGTTCGCTGATGCTACTGGAGGACTTGGTGGTTGTTGTGCTCTGGGTGTGGGGTTTATCCGATTTTTCAATTGAAGCAGTTTGAATTCCCACGTCTTACCCTCAGATCAAAGCCATTCAGCCATGGCACCATCTCGACACAACGCTGCCATACTACCATTGAGCTATTCTGTTTGAAAAATCAGTCCTTTAGCCACGTGAATATCCAATAAATTTGTACAGTTGTCAAGTGTGATTTAGTGGGTTTTAATATATCCAAAGTTCCTACTTGTGTAATTGCGAACACTGCGATTGACTGGAGAGATCCATATTACTTAGACCGGAATTTTTCCGAGTGCGGGCTAAATCCCTGCAATCCTTGTAATTTGTTTGAGGTTTTTTTCGCAAGCATCAGTCAAACCCACTTAATCTGTGAAATCAAATTTCTGCAAATTTTTAGTCGAGTGCTGAACCCATTAAACCATTGTTTGGTCAGGGCTGACTGAAATTACAATAAGTTGCGACTTTATATTGGTCCAAAACTGGATACGTTGAATGTCCTTCTACTTTGACTTTCTCTTGTTTTGGAGAATAAACGGACTCTTTGAGTGTTCAGATTTACTCACCTCATACAGCTTCTAGAGAGTCTTTTACAGGTGGCGTTCCCAGTATCGCCAAATGGCTGTTGGGACAACCCCTCTAATATTCACACAACAGTCTCCAAAGCAGCTAACAGAGATGCTGCGGTTGATAGTGGCCGTTCCCCATTTCAGCGCAGCATTATTCTACCTGTAACTCACGGGGCCCAATGTTAGTGGCTAAAATCCTTTCCATATTCTATAAGAGAAGCCTTTGATGACCGTTAATTCCGTATACCTTCGTAGTAATACCACTGGTTCATGGCTTCGAGCACCCTGGTAGATTCTTTTCTCTGCTGCCTGGGGATACGTGAGACATCTGACCTCGTCTGTTTCAAACTTCGAGCCAATCAGAGCACCAACCAAGTGGCTGACTCTAGTTCGACTAACAATCCATCGCTTTTTATAAATCACCCGTCACGACTATATGACTTTTGCTTCAGTCTTGTGTGATCTAGAAAAATGAAAACAGTGCTATTTTTCCTGTCCTCATGAACTTTTCAGAGATTGGGTTACGAAGACAAATTATGGCGCGTTTTTGAGAACCCGAAGCAACCGGATAAAAAAATTGTCTCCAGCCACTTGGACAAACTGTTCAACAGCATTCGTCTTCAAATGCAGTTTCTTGTCAAAGTCCTTCTTGGGAAGCGTTGGAAAGCAATCTTAGACTCACTGGTGGATGAACCCCGGGTTTCTCGAAAGAAAGATGGCCAATCAACCCTGGATGAGGACGATGATAGTGATACGGATGGAAGTAAGTCAAGTGCAATACAGCCCGAGATCACCTATCTTTTGCCTGAGTTGGACCATTGTCATTTTTCTATCATTTGTGTACCTTCATCTTTTTTAACTTTACACAGGAGAAACAAGCAGCTTCACTATCATTGGGAAGTATAAGGGCAAATGGAGCCGAGCGAAGAGGCTGTTGGATCGAGAGATTCAGGCCTACAGGAACGCCACAGCTGGGCACCCGGTAACCAGCAATCCAGCAAACGTTGGTCCGAAAGTTGCACCGGTACCGACGAGTACATCTAATATGCCCACCAGTTTACAGCCGGATGCTGTTGTCTCTGGTGGGACTCTCACACCAAATGTGCATCCACCTGTGCATCCGAGTACAACCCCAGTTCCCACTAGCAATGTGCAAACTTCTGTTCCCGAGGCCGTCGAACCAAGTCCTGTGCAATCGAATGTGGCTACGATTGGAAAGTTTAGTATTTCAACGCCACCATCAGCTTCCGGAGCACCACCCGCAGTTTCTCAAAGCACCATCCAACCTCAAACTGTACAGTTGCCTTCTGAAACGATACAAACTCCTCCCCTCGCAGAGCACATAGGCCTACAACCTTATCCTTCGAACGAAGCCAACCTCTATCAAAATACTGCACAGGGGTCAGTGTCTACCGCCGTACAGAACCCGAACCCTGAGAGTGGTTTAATACCGGTGCGACTCCATCCGGACCAGAATGTTACACAACTCCCTGTAATGCAAACACCACTGTCGGCGAACCCAATCAGTGGGCATCCCACTTCAGGTAACCAGATTCCTCCAATGACTGCTCCACAACCACAGACTTCACATTTGCCCAACCTTCTTCCCACATCCACAAAAACAGATTCGGAGTCCGTCGCAGCGGTAGATTTAGATAGCGTGACACGCTCTGCTTTGTTACTACAACAGGTACTTCAGGGAATCTCCGTGCCACCACTGAAGCCCTTTTCTGAAGGTTCGGCTGCGCAAACAGGGGTGAGTCAATGTCACACATTTTTGTTACAAGTCGATTTATTTGACATGTTTCATAGGATGTTAGTGCTCCATTGTGATCCACTGGGGGCTAGATGGTCCAAGTGGATAGAGCGCAAATTTACTGACCATAAGGTCCGTGTTTCGAACCCAACCGCTGCCTCTCGACTTCCCCTGTCTAGGCTTGGGCAACATGGCACTATCCCAGCCCTCGTGCAACCTCCGGGTGGGATGGCAGTTAGGCACCGAAAGGGTGCTACAGCTGAATGATTGCTATCCACTGGGTTATCTGCTTGATAGGTTCCCCGTCTCCCATTTTATTTCTAGTGATTGTGACCCATCTGTTGTGGTATCATTTTGTCTAACTTGGTACTGTGGGGCTTTCTTATGCATATATCGATGTCCGTGTCTGATGTCAGCTAAGAACGTTGTGAAGTAGAATCAATCCAGCTGGTTCTAACCGGGTTCTGTCCTCAGGGGAACCTCTGCGTATAATTCAACTTCGAACTGTGCATCTGATCTAGTAACTTCCGTTTGTTTCTCGACCACTTGCACAAGATTCCTCGTCATTTGTATTTGTTGCTTTTCCATCGTTGACCGTCGAATAACTTGCGTTTTTATCTGTGTACTGTCTATTTCCCCATTGTGGTATGCTCACGAAAACGTGACTGCTATTCCGACTACCGTCCCAGTGTAGCTTTCAGTGGTACGAAAGTATTTTTCTAAAGCAGTGGTTCTGCCTCAAGGTTAGGTGCACCAGAGAGGTCCTGATACGTCTACCATAAACACGCAAAGTGATTTTCCTAAATTTAGATGGCAACCACTTACAGAGTCTGGATGTGATCATACAATTCATTACGTGTTCAGACTTGACTGCAGCTGGTTTCAGCACATTATGCAGAATATGCATGGTGGTTGCGGTAGTTGATCTCTAGATGTAACAAGTTTACACTTTTCCATTGTTGTTGAACGACAAAATTCCGGCGATGACCTTATGTGAATTTCAGTCTTTTGCCAGAAATAGTGCTCGATACGATGCTAAGACGTGGTGGTGGGATGCGGGTATGCAACTCCTCGATTTTCCTGCCAGAACTGAAAGTCCTTTGGGACAACCTCGAATTGACACTCATTTCATCGCGACATAATAGTGATAAAGCTGAGACGTTTCAATGTAGGAAGGGCAATGTGGTAACCGTGCTTGTCAACCATGTTCATATTCATATTCAGCGAAAAACGGCTGTTGGTCCTCCTAGGCTGGCGAACAAAAAATATGATTCCATTAGCTTTTTTATCCTGCTGTGAGCCCTTATAAACCTATGAACGTTTTCAAATAAGATATTATTCCTGCAAAGCAGAAAACTACCCGGTTACTTCACCGCACTATGCACTATAGGTAAAGTTGTAGAGACAAGCTGACACGAACGGTTCATCATACCGTACCTCATTAAAATGGTAGTGGCTAAGTATCCTGCTGAAGTGCTTTTTTTANATGTGCGATCCGAAAAAGACCTTTTTGGCTAGGCAAGTCAAGGTCGTACCTTAATCAGACGAACCAGCAAATCTTTGAACCTGTCATCGGTTAATAGTATTTTCTGGAACAAAAAAGCGAATTGATTTTTATTCGTTGCGGGGGTCAACTGTAGAAATTTCTTGGTAAAACTGGCGTTAAAAATGCGTGGATGTATCACTCGTCAGTGGTTCACTGCCCTAGTTGGAAAGGAATGTGAAGGCAACTCACCCCTTCATAGACACATGTACATTTCGTGGTCTTTGTCTGCAAATTTAAGAACAAATCAGGAGTTTGTGTGAAGAATGTAGTTTTCCTACTATTCGCTTTTTTAGTCTTTTTGCGAATAGCTTGGTTGGAAGGGTGTTCCACTCTCGTGAAAGCGTTTTAGGGTAGCCTGAACGTGGTCGGGCTGGATTAACACAACACGGAAAATTGTCTGTGAACTGACTGCGCGATATTCCCGATTTAGCAAAAAAATGTTCTCTCATCGCAACGGAACTCTATTGTAACTGTGATTGCAACTGTAATATGAGAATTCAACAAACCCTCATTCAGAAAGTACACCTTTGATTGATGGATAAAAAATCATTCCATATTTAATTGGGCATGTTGGTGGAAATTGAGGTTAAGGGGCATCTTATCAATGTGATAACCAATCAGAAACTTCTGGAGCGTTTTCTGACACCACATCTTTTGATACCGTCCTTGTGAAGTAGACCAGTTGTGCGGGGCTTGCCAACAGGAAACCTAGAATCTGCTGGAATTGTCTCGGACAAATCGTTGCACCGTTTCGAGTGTAGTCTTAACGACTTAGTACTGGTTTGTTGAGTCAAGCTTGAAAACTTTGACCCCTTACACTATTAGCTGAACGAAATCAGAGACTACTGGTTGGTTGCTTTGTTTTATAGTTTTCGGAAATCTCCGGGATATCTAAGTTCCCGAATAAAGCGTATCATGAGAAATGTTGCATTCGCCAGGGTCCAGCTGGAAGTCTCATCTATGGAGGCAAACTTCAAAATCGGCTTGAACCTACTCACTGTTTAAAAGTCCAATTTCAGTTTAAAAATCTCCGAAGAAAACGCACCAACGATGGGCGACAGCGTTCGCGGACTTAGGGCTAAACTAGTTGATACCTATTACTGGTTTCTGGCTACATCATTACATACTAGTAAACAATTGATCCACAAAGGGTTTGTTGTTTCATGCACCTGATGAGCGCCATGTGACCTTATGCAGAAAAAATGGAGCAAAACTCTCGAAAATGGAACCAACACACGTATTTTCTGAGCGGTGATTTTCCGTCAAAAACTAGTCTTCGGGAAAACAGCAAACCTTTTTATTGGATGCCCTTACTGGCAGATGAAATTAATAGGTCCACAGACATCCCAATTAAGGGAATTGCGGAAAACACATGAGGTCGATGTTCCACTTTGTCACGCTCTAACACCGAACCCTTAAACCTATCAAAACACCCCATCCTATGAAATCGCAATTTATAATTTTGCCTTTGCGGAACTTGCATATTGTTTATTTGTCTGTATGTCTCCCAACGGACTCCCGAAGAACTTATCCTCTTATGTGCTCAAACTATCCGTTGTGTTTGGGGACTCAGCCCTTAAACAGATTCTAGTTGTAGTCATTGGTAACCATTCAAGTCAGTTTTTGAAAGGTTGAATGACGTTTCTCAGCTAGAATTAATTTGGCTACATCTTATTAAAGTATTGTTGATGATCATGTACGCTAAAGAATGGTTTATAATGGTGAAAAAATGGACGTCTCATTTTTAGATGCACTGGCTTTTCAGGGGACGGTTTAGTGACTTGCTATAGAAAGCAGTTTACCGCAAGTCTACTTGGGTAGACTGTATGATCCGTTTCCCAGTTTCCCGCTCTCAGGCTCACCGAACGCCTTGTTTGTCGGCCAGGATAATTTTGACTAAAGGACATGATTAACGAACTGAGTTTTCAACTCAAACCCAAGTGACCAACACTTCATCCTTACTCATAAAAAGCGAAAGTCACATTGGCCGTATAGGAAGTGAATGTTGACATTGCTACTCAGATGTGTCATCTAACCAATAATGTAATCCGGAAGCTAGTATATCTACCGCAGCGTATTTAACCTGCGATTGAACTATAGCTCCTGTTTTGGCCCCTTCAGTTACTCTGTATGCTGCTGTTTGTCAACCCACATGCAGATTCGGCAACAAGTGATTTGTTCACCATTCTGTTACGTGATACGAACTCTGTTCGCGTAGCAAATAGTGAAGCGCTATCGATCAGATACCTTCGGAAATCACGTCACAAGGCCAGATAATTACTAGTTACCATTTGAGGGTTGTCCGACTTTAACCTAGAACGTGTTCTTGAACTGTTCAACCGTCACTGCTCGACTCTACAGCAATATCTTGGCTGTTGATAAGGCTATTCGCAATTCTTGCACCCTGCAATATCTTTCTGTTATTTTAACCAAGCAAATTTGTGTTTATGCTAATCTCGTTTGAAGATGGCGCCCATCCTGCTTCATCCGAGTTTCTGATATCATTCGCATCGTCAGTAGGATCGGACTGTGATCACAGTAATCCTTCCGAAAACCATATTTTTCGCTCGTCGCCTTGAGAACTCATCTCAAAGACCGTTTGTAATTTTTTTGCCACCCAAATTTGAGCAGTCTCCCAGCGGTAATGAGGACGTCACGATTAATTCAGGTGCAGCAGCCGCATTGAGCCCTTGTCAAGACTGCGTGATCTACGCGTACTAGCCGCACAGCTCGGACCACATCATGATCCTTCGACAACTTCGAGTTATTTTGGTTCTGTTGTCAACCATTGCCTGTGGAATACCTTGTGCATGTAGTGTTGGTAGTAGCGGATGATCGGTGCCTGGGAGCGACGGCGCAGAGTTCAAAACTGATACACCGAATAAACGATACCATTGATAATGCTTAGAATGGCTCTTATCTTGACAACAAAGAGTGGTACTTAGACGTTAAAGACGAAATTGACGACGAACCTTGTTTAGGGGTTAGACTGGTAGACACTGGAAAGCCGGTGAGTCTTTTGAAACCACGCTCGTTTTTTGCATGATTTCGACGATAGGTAGGTTTTGCAGTAAATGTGCACATCAAGTTGCTGTTTTTGCGTGTAATGGTCTACACTTCAGTCTTGCCACTCTGTGTCATACCCCGCTCTCTCTTTCTGCTAACCCGTTGTTATTCTTTTCAGCCCAACAGCCCTGCCTACAGTTCTTCGGTTGCTCAGCCCAGTCAGTTTCCCAACCAGTTGCAACAACAACAGTCGATGACGGCACCACAAACACAACAACCAGTGCTCACTGATGGGGCAACAGCCCCGGTGGCGATATCGCCAGCTACCGCCGGATCAGGTTCAATTCCCAGCCACTACATATCACCGGTAAGTTCGTGAGTTGAAAACTGGCCATTTTGGCCCTGCTATCCTGCCTTGCAACACATGAGTGCTAGCAAAACGACTGTTCCTTGAACAGTGATCCTATCTTGGTGCTGCTTATCTATGAGTGCTACTCATCGTGCCCATTTCTTGGAATATGTACCATGACTAAATTCGCGAGTTTTCTTGACAGGAACGAAGAGTATGGAATATTATCCCTTTATGGGTCTATGGAATAATTTTAAGCCCCGCGATATGCAAGTCAGTTCTTGTTACCGTCGTGTTTTCAACTCCTGCTCCACACTTTTCATCCTCCATCGATCTTACATAGACAAAAACAGAATCCTATATCTCTTTATTGATCCGGTGCACACCAAAAATTCGATGATAAGTGAATTTGGCATACTTTTGGTGGATATGAGTATTTAGTCCCCAGCTTTTTTTGACTGAATCGAAACTCTGAAATCCAACATTGATTAATTTAGGAGAACTTGATTTTAGATATCGTCGCCTTTCTTTGATTCACTCCTCGGGTGCGGTCTTTCCGCATTCAGCTGCATTCATGATCAGTAAGCAACTGGACAGGGATGACTGATGCCTCTTCTGCTTTTCTTGGTGCTATGCGTTTTCCTCCATAGGCTCTTGGGGATATCATTTTTCCATTTTTCACATTCTCATGTTCATTTTAGCAAACATCGTGTGTAGGACTGTATCCCTTTCTTGCACTGTCACAGCCCCACCATCACGATGTCTGCCTCGGCGACGATTCTTGTCGGGTCACACTGGAACTAAAGGCCGACTGGGTTAACTAAGCTATCGTTGAATTCATCCTCAGATGAATCCCCTAACTTGTGAGCATCCACAAACCCTTCCAGAGGACAGTGGCGTATTCGCATATAATAATACTGGGATATTCGTGTCTCAATCTCATCGGGCATTCTTTTTATCGTAGTGTTCTGCGTTCGTTTTTTAATTAATATGATCCAAGTTGGATTTCACCATCAATAGGTACGAATCGGACGCTATTCCCTCACGCATCATGAATCCATCCACAGGACTAATCACATTGAAGTGCGTTAACGCGAAGACCTAACAACCTAACGAAGAGAGTTTCTAAGTCACTTGGCTCACGCTGCAGCGTTTGTGATTGAACTCGGAACTTTCTGGTCATGACCAGCCGTAACGGACAAACCCAGCTGCGTTGCTTTTCGTTGACTTCTCGGGTGAGGATCCTAGAACGAACATGTGACAAGCGAGCGATTCGTCCAAGTAACAGTGCGAGTACCCAGACTACCGGTTTCAGCACTTAGCTCCCTTCCCGATCTCTTCAGCCTTATCGATTTCAATGATTGAGGCCTTCGACGTCTACACAGATTCGTTGTTTTCTTACCAAAATGACCCTCAGGAATTAGTGATTCTTTTTTGTGGAACTTTCAAAACCATTCAGTAAAGTATTCTGCAGACCTCTTTCATTTGGGATTCCTTTTTTCCGAATATCAAAGATGGAGATCTCCGTCCTGGATACGATATTTGGACCCAGTGTAAAAAAACAAGCTGCTCGTAGTTTATTCCAACCTATCTCTTGATATTTCGCGCGCTGATGCCGAAGGTGAAAAACAGAGCAATACGTGACCTCTTTGATCCTATTGTCATTTGTCGGAAAAACATACACCAACTTACCGTGAACATGTGATTGCGTCATCGTTGTTTACACTTGAACTGCTCTCACATACTGCACATTCTCGGCCCTGCGAATTACTTACTTGTGGGTGGTACCGAATGCTTCACTTCCTTCAGTGTCACAGGCTGCCGCAAGCTTCATGCTTTCCTTGAATGTTACAAATGGTCTACTAGGCTATTCCACAACAGCTTGCTCCCACTATATGCAGCTGGTTCCGTGAGATAAAGAGCTAATTTCCGCAACATGCATTCTTAGTAACCATTCCCTCAGTCACTGCGTTATTCCTCAGTTATTTTTCGAAAACTCTTCCGACTCATTGTTTGTATTTCATAGTCATCAATGCCTAATTTCTCTGCTTTCGTGACTCATCATCATCATTGTCAGCTGTAAGAATCGCGTACTGGTCGTACACTGGTTGTAGCTGCCACAGTTNGGGTAAGTAGCTGCGCATTGCACGCGCGAGCTGGTAAATTGGTGCATAAATCCCAGCACTGTAGTGGGTTGTCAAGCGGGGGTGGAAAAGGAGCTATGCGTTGAAGGCAATAGCTTTGATGCATGAGCGCCATTGAGGGCGCGACTGGGCCATGTCTGATAATGTCTCTAGCCATTGATTTACCCGTCTCGGGGTCCAAATCCAGGAAGACGGCAGTGACCAGCGCAGCTGAGTTTGCTGGTAATGGCTTTCGTACTTCGCTGCCAAGTCATTGTTTGACCGCCTCTGGCTCTCTTTCAC